TACTGTGAGCAAATGTCCTTTCACTACATCCTGGAATTCTCAAGATATAAACAAACCAACCGACATTGGATAGAATTCAGGTGTTGCTTATCGGGAGATGATTGCCTGAGATATCTTAGCTATGGTATAGTTTTTAGGATAGTGTTCTGTTTTGCTTATTGGGGTGTGATGGCTTAAGATATGATAGCTACAGTGTTTAATATAATTAGAGGTCAGGTTTTGCTTACGGGGGGATGATGGGTTGAGATATGTTCGCGAAGTTATAATTTTTATGGTTGATTGCTTAAGATACTGCAAGACCTCGAGGAGATATATAGTTCTGGAAAAAATTGGTTTTTGGGGACAGTACAGCACATTATTGGTACCTGCAAGCAAAAAATAGGGACAGTACAGCACTTCTGCAGTCTCAAGAGGCGAAAGTGCTGTACTGTCCCTATTTTTTGCTTGCAGGTACCAATAAAGTGCCGTACTGTCCCTAAAAAACCTAAAAAACCAATCTTTTGGGAACTACCGGGGGCTCCAGGGCTGGTAGTGCTGGAAAGATTGGTTTTTTAGGTTTTTTAGGGACAGTACAGCACTTTATTGGTACCTGCAAGCAAAAAATAGGGACAGTACGGCACTTCTGCAGTCTGGAGAGGCGAAAGTGCTGTACTGTCCCTATTTTCTCGTCCCCAGGCAAGCAAAAAATAGGGACAGTACAGCACTTCTGCAATCTGAAGAAGCGAAAGTGCTGTACTGTCCCTATTTTTTGCTTGCAGGTACCAATAAAGTGCCGTACTGTCCCTAAAAAACCTAAAAAACCAATCTTTTGGGAACTACCGGGGGCTCCAGGGCTGGTAGTGCTGGAAAGATTGGTTTTTTAGGTTTTTTAGGGACAGTACAGCACTTTATTGGCACCTGCAAGCAAAAAATAGGGACAGTACGGCACTTCTGCAGTCTGGAGAGGCGAAGTGCTGTACTGTCCCTATTTTCTCGTCTCCAGGCAAGCAAAAAATAGGGACAGTACAGCACTTCTGCAGTCTCAAAAGGCGGAAGTGCTGTACTGTCCCTATTTTTTGCTTGCAGGTACCAATAAAGTGCCGTACTGTCCCTAAAAAACCTAAAAAACCAATCTTTTGGGAACTATCGGGGGCTCCAGGGCTGGTAGTGCTGGAAAGATTGGTTTTTTAGGTTTTTTAGGGACAGTACAGCACTTTATTGGTACCTGCAAGCAAAAAAATAGGGACAGTACGGCACTTCTGCAGTCTGGAGAGGCGAAAGTGCTGTACTGTCCCTATTTTCTCGTCCCCAGGCAAGCAAAAAATAGGGACAGTACAGCACTTCTGCAGTCTGGAGAGGCGAAAGTGCTGTACTGTCCCTATTTTTTGCTTGCCAGGCAAGCCAAAAAATAGGGACAGTACAGCACTTCTGCGGTATGGACAGGCGAAAGTCATGTTTCCATTGCTTGGGTTTCAGGCAAGCCATATTCGCATTTCGCAGACACAGAACGAAGTCGGTAACACCAGAAACGAACCACCAGATCCTGGTAGTCCATTTCTGGCATCTGCATGCACACATCGCTGTAAGAAAGAAGTATGAAACAATCGTTTTAACAGGAAAACCCTCGGTATTTGCAGCGTTTTCTGCATCTGCATGTATAAGAAAGAGTACATATATGGAGTGAGGAGATTCTGAACAGCCTTGGGGGTGGATCTTGGGGGGGGGGGCGACCATCTATATATATATATATATATATATATTGTTTTTGTTTCTGGTAGCCTGGTCTCCTGGCCTCCAGGCCCCGGTCCTTCAGTTGTTTTTGGTCACCTGCCCCCCCCCCCCCCTTCTTCAGCCGAGGAAACTTTTGCAAACTTGCTCCAGAGAATGTCCAAATCCGTCATACGAGGGTGTGTTGTTGCGTTTGCAAGTGGTGGTGGGGAAGCCCCTCCCGCACCCTCTTATGCTGCGCATGCGCTTTTTCCAAACCCATCGTGCGAGCGTTGAGTTTGCACACGGCCGCCTCCCAACCCCACCGCGCTTTCATGCGGTGCAGACTTGCTTCCAAGAATGCTGTGCTATCAATGGGCATTCCTTCAAACTCCAATATGAATGCTTCCGAGCGCGTCTTGCGCGCTCTATTCGAAAATTTGGAGGGATGGAGTCATGAGCACAGCTTCAGACGAAAGAAGAGTTTCCCAAGGACAATGTAGAGGGTTCCCGGCTCACGTTTTTGGGCGTGCAGCGCTTCAGGCGTTTGGGTTGGCGCCCCCAACTCCCCTGTCGTGCTCAGGATTTTTTATATCCTCCAAGCTCCACCCTAAACCCTAAACCCTCAACCCTCAACCCCAGACCCCAAACCCTAAACCCTAAACCCTAAACCCTAAACCCTAAACCCTAAACCCTAAACCCTAAACCCTAAACCCTAAACCCTAAACCCTAAACCCTAAACCCTAAACCCTAAACCCTACACGTCCGAAGGGGCGTGCAGATCGTCGGTGCCGCAGACTCCGAGCGAGAGGACCTTGAAGCGCTGGGGCCTAAGGGGATCCGTTTCCCTTTTTTCCGCCCCTGAGGATGAGGTTGGGGTTCAGGATTGAGGATGTAGGTTTAGGGTTTAGGGTTTAGGGTTTAGGGTTTCGGGTTTAGGGTTTAGGGTGGCGTTGGGGTTTGGGAGTTTGGGTTCCAGGGTTTAGAGGGTTCCGGGATCAGGGTTCAGGGTTCAGGGTTTAAAGGGTGTAGGGTTTAGGGTCTAGGGTCTAGGGTTTAGGGTTTAGTTTGTAGGGTTTAGGGTCTACAGGCTTTTTGGTTTTAGGTTTCGGGGTCTTTCGTTCTGCTATGAGGGGGCAAACCCTGAACCCCTCCACCCCAACCCCACCTAGAGCCCCCCAAGTACCGTCCTAAGATACCCTAAATGCCTTCAGTAAGCCCTATAAGCCACAGTCCCACCCTAAACCCTACACCCTAAACCTGAAAGTACTCTTCAAGATGCCCTAAGTGCCCTCATCAGGTACGCTCAGGCCCTTAGTAAGGCGTTCTTGGGGGTCCAGGCAACCCCCAAAACCCTGCCTTAAACCCTAAACCCTAAACCCTAAACCCTAAACCCTAAACCCTAAACCCTAAACCCTATAAACCCCAAACCCCAAACCCTAAACCCTTAGGGTAAGATTACCTGCAAGGTGCCTGCGCGACCTCAACATGGAGCCAGTCAGCCTCCGATTTTCTCAGGTGCCATATGAGGGAGGTTTCCGATAGTAGGGGTGGCGGTTAAGGGTTTAGGGTTTAGGGTTTAGGGTTTAGGATTTAGGGTTTAGGGTTTAGGGTTTAGCGAGTTTCGTGACTGGAATCGTGTTTTTTTAAGGCTTGGATCGTTGTTCGCGGCTCACAAGTGCAGACCGTCACGAAGATGAGGCGCGTGGGTTGCACCATCCTCGTGACCGTCGGCACTTTTATTTGCTTCGGTTGTAAAATGTGCAGACAGTTACAAACCCAAAACCCTAGACCTTTAAACCCTCAACCCTAAACCCTAAACCCTAAACCTGTGGGGTGCGCCATCCTTGTGCGTCGTTTGCTTTTGATGGCTCAACTGTGCAGACAGTCACGAGGATGAGGCAGGGTGCACTGTTCTCGTAGCTGTCCAAGGGTTGAGGGTTTAGGGTTTAGGGCTTACGGTTTTAGAGCCTCGTTTGTTGCTCAAGTGCCAAAGTGCTGACAGTTGCGACGATGAGGCATGTGTGTTGCGTCGTGGCTTCTGGAGCTCCCATAAATTTTCTGTTTGAAGTCATTGAAAGGCTTAGAGGAATGGATTTGTTAGCCATGCTCTTCTGTTTCAAGTGACTGAAAGGTTCCCCAGGAATGGATTTGTGAACCATGGTGACTGAAGGGCCACAACGGAATGGATCTGTTAACTAACCGTACGAGGTAATGGATTTGTTGAAAGAGAGAAGGAGAGATGAGAGACAGATGAGAGATAGAAGAAAGATATGAGAAAGAGACATCAGAAAGGATTTAGGAGAAAGGCACCAGAGATATAAGAGACAAGAGAAAGATATACGAGAGAGAGAAGTGAGAACCAAGAGAGAGAGAGAGAGAAAACAAAAAAAACAAATAAACATACCAAGAGATAAGTGAGAACTGTGAGAGAGAGAGGAGAGAAGAGCGAATAGAGAGAGAGAGAGAGAAGCGAGTGAGAGAGAGAGAGAGGAGAGAAGAGCGAATAGAGAGAGAGAGAGAGCGAGAGAGAGAGAGAGAGGGAGAGAGATGGAAAAGGCTCAGACACTTCACTTCGGATCTCGTGTCGTGCTCCGCGTCTGTTGTGCTCGCCGTGGTGCGCAACATGTATCTGCATTCGGGCTCGTGCCCCCCCCCCCCCCCCCCCCTGTATCAGTTTTTTTTGTCAAGTGCATCTTGACCGTTCCAAAGTCCTTGTGTTCCGATGGATTCTCTGAAATATCTGCGCAGTGTCACACAGCGCGGACGACTCGTGGGGGCTCACTTTGTCTTGGGCTCCAAGAGCACGTTCTACCATAAAAGCGGACCACTTCAGTCAGAAAAAAGGGCCCATTGTTGTGAAACTCAGGTTCGCTCCTCTCTTTCAGGGTGTCGGGTGTACGGCCTAGGGTTGGTTCCAGTGATTCCAGTGGAAAACCGAAAGCCCTCCTGCAAAGCCTAGCCAAACACGCATAGTCTGACTTACTTCAACCCGGGTTGAGCCTGCTTCTTTTGGGGTATAGCAGCCTCTTATTTTGGGCAACTAGGTGCTTAAGGTAGGGTTTAGGGTTGGTTGCGCGGCCCACGACTTAGCTTGCAATCTCGGCTGCTGACCCAGCTCCCAGGTTGTCTGCACAAATCAAGGTGCTCGGTTTTTTATGGGGGTGAGTTTGTATGCATAACATTGAGAGAGAAGTCAATATCAGGTTTAGGTCTACAGGGTTAAATTTTTGCATGCGCATGTACAGATGTGGCTTGTCAAGCTCGGAGGTTGAACGCATTCCAAGTGCCTGGGCAGGGTTCCTCATGGGAGCATGATGCTGCGGATCCGCATGCTCTCGGGCGAAGAGGTGACGAGCATACCTCTGGAAGAGGTGGGCAGCGTGAAGGAAGTGAAGCAACGATTGCATCAGCTGCATGGCCTGCCGCCCCGCTTCAGGCAGAAGCTCCTCCTCCAGGGTGCATGTCTGGGCGATGCCGAGCCCGGGCCCCCCAAAATTGGGGTTGTATACCCTCTAGGACCCTAAGCGCGAAAGCCTGAACCCTAAACCCTAAACAGGCACATGAACTCCCTAAACCCTATAACCCTAAACCTTAAAGCCTGAACCCTAAGCCCATAAACCCTTCGACGGGTTCATTCGGTCCCCGAGGATGAGTTACACTCCACCTTCGAACTGGACCTCGTTCTTCAATCTTTTTGCGACGCCTCCCAGACACAAGTGAGCGACCTGGTAGCGGCCTGCGAGGATGGCTCTGTCGACAAGGTGGGTCGAGGGTCTACAGGGTTTAGGGTTTATAGGGTATAGGGTACAGGGTTTAGGGTTTAGGGTTTATAGGGTTTAGGGATAAGTACTCTTGTGAGGGATCCAGGCGAAAGTGTATCGGTTTCTGCTCATCAGAAAGCCTCTAGGTCGAGTCCATGCTGCAGCTGCCGATGGACCCCAATGTGGTTGCAGAAACATCTGCTGAGACACCGCTTGTCAAGGCATCTGGCGCAGGCCACGTCGAAGCGGTGCGTTTGCTGCTGGAGGCCGGCGCCGCCAAGAACGTGGCCGACATCGACGGCAACACAGCCCCTTGGTAGCCCAGTGGTGCCCTATGCCCTTTTTTTGTTTGTATGGGTTCCCTTATACATAGTAACCGACCCAAAAAAAGGGTGCCCTGGTCATAATATGGTTACTGGGCTACCAAGGCCCTGATGCTCGCAGCTGCGGAGGGTCATGTCGAAGTGGCGCGTATATTGGTGGAGGCCGGCGCCGACATGGGCTTGGCCAACAACGATGGCGAAACTGCCCTGATGCTCGCGGCGCACCACGGCCACTCTGAAGTGGTGCGATTTCTGGCGGATGCCGACCTCCACAAGGACGCGGTCAACAGACATGGTGATACAGCCCTCATGTTCGCGGCCTTTGGGGGCCATGAGGACATGGTACGTTTGCTAGTGGAGGCCGGCGCCGACAAGGACGCGGCCAACACGGCTGGCTACACAGCCATCGGCCTCGCAGCTCGCAAGGGCCACGCTGAAGTCGTGCGCGTTCTGCTGGAAGCCGGCGCCGACAAGGATTGGGCCCATAACAAGTTGACGGCACTGATGTTGGCCGCGAGGTGGGGCCATGTTGCAGTCGCGCGTTTGCTGGTGGAGGCCGGTGCCGACAAGGATGCGGCCACCAGGCATCGTGGCGACACAGCCCTGATGTTCGCAGCTACGTACGGCCGCGAGGATGTGGCGCGTTTGCTGGTGGATGCTGGTGCCGACAAGGACACGGCAAACGACGACGGTGACACAGCCCTGATGATAGCTTGCCGTCATTCTTTGGATGTATTTCGCTTGCTGGAAGAGGCCGGTGCGGGTGGACAGAGCCGTAACCCCTCGCAGACAGCGACGGCTGCACAGTCACAGCACTGATGTGGGCAGCTTGCATTGGCCGGCTTGCACGTTCAAACCCTGAACCGTTAACTGTTAACCAGTTAACCCTTACAAGCCTCTAAGCCCGAAGCCCTAAACCCTAAATCCTAAACCCTAAATCCCAAACCCTAAAGCCCAAAGCCTAAGCCGCCTAGGGCCCGAAACCAAGAACCACTGCAGGATCTGCAGGTCTACGCCCTCACTAGGGTTTAGGGTTTAGGGTTTAGGGCCCTGAACCCCTGCAAAACCTCAATGTTAAAACCCTGCGAACCGCCAAAATCCTAAACTCCTGGCCAGAGCCCTAAGTTTGCTTACATCCTCAACCCGGGTTCCTCAGTTAAGGACTAGGGCTAAGTGGCTCATGTTCGACCGCAGTCTTAGTCTGAGATAAACCCCCCCTACCCCCCTTAAACGCTACCCTGAATCCCAAATCCCCGAACCCCCCATCAACCCTACAGCAGTCACCCCTAATCCCTAAACCTTAAACCCTATAAACCCTAAAACCTAAACCCTAACCCTAAAATCTAAACCCTAAACCCTAAATCCTAAACAAACCCTCCGGGGCAGATTGCCGAACTCCCCGCGCAGAGCTGGAAAGTTGATGCAAGGCTTGGAGGTTTAGGGCAGAGGGTTTAGGTTTTAGGGGCTTCGGGCTCACTAAATAAAAGTTTGAGTTTCCTCAACCACAAACCCTAAACCTCAAACCCTAAACCCTAAACCCTAGACCCTAAACCCTAGACCCTAAACCGTAAACCCTAAACCCTAAACCCGAAACCCTTTAGGGCTTTGGAGTTTAAGGTGTGGGGCTTGGCAAGTCTCAAAGCCGGCCCAGTTCGACAGATTCGTCCAATGCCAGCCAAAGGGTGTCCCCACCTTCGTAGTCCCAAGCCCCCGGACCCTAAACCCTAAACCCCAAACCCTAAACCCGAAACCCTAAACCCTAAACCTCGGACAAAACAAAACACCCTCTAGACAGCAGGCCCGCCAGCACTACACTGTCCGCTTGGGGAGCGTGAGGCCCTGATCCTGGCTCTAGGGCTCAAAGGCTCAAAGTACCTTCTCTATCCTTGTCTCCGGGTATGGAGTATGGGGTTTAGGGTTTAGGGTTTAGGGTTTAGGGTGTAGGTTCAGGGTGTAGGGGTTTGGAGTTTCATCCCGGGTTTTTAAGGGTTTCTGTTGGGTGCCTTCTACACTTCCTTCAAGAACAGATCAGCCTCTCAGCATGGACTGTTGCTCTGACTGGGCTGGGCTGCCCAGAGAGCAGGTGGTCGACGGACTGCCACGTTACGACGGTTGGCGGTGCCGTGGTGCAAAACACGGCACAAACGCAACCAGGCCTACCGTCCACTTTTTCTGGAGGCGCAGAAATCCGAAGGGGTGTCGCGCGCAACAACCTAGAAGCCTAAACCCTAAACCCTAAACAAGGGAGACGACATTCCGGCGAGACCTTGCGGCGAAAGACCTCGCTTTGGCGTGCCAGAAACTAAAGGTATGGGCCGACCCTGCGGCGAGCATACTTGGAGGTTCATGGTACTGTCTACCCTAAACCCTAAAAACTACACCCCTAAGCACAGTTAGACTTGGTTACGAAGTACCATCCTAAACCCTAAACCCCAAACCCCAAACCCGAAACCCTAAACCCTAAACCCTAAACCCTAACCTCCAAGTAGGGTGCTGCCAAGAGGATCGGACCCGGGGCCAAGCTGAGGCACCTCGAGGTCGCTCTGAGTTCTATGTCCAGGGCGCTCTGCGCCAACGGCTTTTGGAGCTAGGGCTTAGGGTTTAGGGTTTAGGGTTTAGGGTTTAGGGTGTAGGGTGTAGGGTGTAGGGTGTAGGGTTGAGAGTTTCGGGTTTAGGGTTTTAGGGTTGAGGGTTTAAGGGCACAGAAAACCCCGCGAACAGCTTGACGAAGCACCCCAAGACCGGGAACCCTACTTTTTTCCCCTGCATAAGCACACCTAGTTTCGGGGATGTCAATGCAAACCCAGAAGAAGCTCTGATCTAGCATGCTTTGGAATCGTTAGGCCCATGGTCAACGTACCGCTCAGGCGAGCAACTTTTTCCAGATTTCTTTTGGAGGTTTACGAAAAGAGGGGACCCCCTAAATAATCCCCCAAATAGTAGGAATAGTAGGATTCCTTTCTAATGGGGATTTCGGAAACCACCACTTCATGATGCGAATATTCTCCCTAACCTGTAGCGCCATACCTAAAACCCTAAACCCTAAACCCTAAACCCTAAACCCTAAACCCTAAACTCTAAACCCTAAACCCGAACCCTGAACCCTGAACCCTGAACCCTGAACCCTAAACCCTAAACCCTAAACCCTAAAACCCTAAAACCCTGAACCCTAAACCCTAAACCATTTTAGGGTTTGTCTAGTCCTCAAGCACACCCTGGGCCCAAGAACCCCCAGACCCTAGCCTCTTAGACCCAAACCCTAAAAGAAACCCTTCAAGAGTTTACAAGGCTTATAGGTTTAGAGTTTCTGGTTTAGGGTTTAGGGTTTAGGGTTAATTATGGTTCATGTAATATAAGAACCGTAGTACTTACAATTAGTATTCCCAGATGGTCCCTATGCACGTTTACTGTAAATATCAGGGCCCTATAGTAGAACCCAAGGTAACGCCTGGGCAGACCTCTTACTGTTGGTTAGCAGGGAATGGGGGAATGAGGTACCCTATACAATCCCTTAAAAGGGTAGATTTAGGACCCTCATTCCTTCATGCTAGCCAACAGTAAGACCTGTGCGCAGACAAGTGCGGGAACTCGCCAAGATCGGCATCAATGGGAAGCTGAGGCAGCCGACCCTTGAGTTCTCTTAGGGTTCTGGGTTTAGGGTTGAGGGTTCAGGGTTTAGGGTTTAGGGTTTAGGGTTTAGGCTTTCGGGAGTTGGTTGTGTAGTAGGATTTCTTTAGGCCTCCGTTTTAGGTAGATGGTGGTCGAGTCCATATGTTCCTTATAGGTTGTATTACTTAGGAACCCAATTCCAAGTGTAGGTTATAACCCATTACATGGTACCGTAATAGGGTTACAATTGGGTTAAACCAGTACAGTTAGAATTGGGTTACTAAGTACCATGAACCTGCAAGTAACCCCAATTATAAGTCTACATTTAAACCTGCATTAGAGGACTTAGTGCGGGGCTGGTTAGTCCTGACTCCCCTCTTGTTGGTTCTGTCGAAACGCTGCGAAGTCGCAATTTGGCCGCAAAAGAGATCCCCGACTGGAGGCGCCTTTGGTTCCTGGGGCTTAGGGCTTAGGGTGTAGGGTTCAGGGTTTAGGGTTTAGGGTTTAGGGTTTAGAGTTTAGGTTTAGAGGTTCGGCTTCGCCATCTCCGACCTCAAAACCAGCGGTCCAACCTGGATCCGCCTCGCGAGTTACCCCTTGCTGAGCGCATGCCCCGCTTGGAAGCTCAGAAGAGGCGCTTGACAAGCATTGTTTTCACCGAACTTGTGGAGCCCTCCCGCGTCTTGATTCTTGATCGACAACCCCTAAACCCTGAACCCCAAACCCTAAACCCTAAACCCTAAGCCCTAAACCCTAAACTTGCAGGCCATGCTCGATACTGGCAACATCACATACTTGGAGGTTCATGGGCACTTAGAACCCCAATTCTAACTGCACTTATCAAGCCCCTAAGTCCCCTGAGTATGTTAGAAGTAGACTTATGTAAGTGGGGTTATAGGTAGCCCTAAACCCTAAACCCTAGACCTTATATAAGTGGGGTTATAAGTGCCCGCGAACCACCAAGTACCCTCCCCCTAATAAGTGCCCATCCCGAGCCTCCTTGGATGCCTCCAAAGACTTGAAAGTCTCCAAGCGTCAGTCTGATCCTTAGTAGTAGAGTAGGTAACCATTCTAATCCCAAGAGAATCCCAAAGGTTAAACTTTAATTCCGCCAGGTTACTGGACAACTCAGGATCTCGAGAGCGTAGGATTGGGGTCAAGAGTACTTTGGAGGCCCACCTTGTAGGAGTCTCAGGTTTGGATTCCGACTGAAAGGTGGGTGTTTGGATGTTTGGCGTTTCGGGATACACCCCCCCAAGAAACCCTTTAGACAAGAAACAAGACAAGCAAGGAAGCCCCCGAAATCTCCAAAGTCCCCTAAACCGCCTATAGACCCTAAATTCCAGGGTGCCAGAGATTTTTAGAGTGGAAGGCTCCTCCCCAAAAGCTCCACAAATCCGGAGGAAGGCCACCAGGCCTTGAACTGGGGTTTGGGGGTTCAGGGTTCCCTAAACCTAAACCCTAAACCCTAATACCTATACACGGGCTTTAGGGTTTCGGGCTTCTGGAAATCCTGACTGGGGGGGTGCTGGGCTTAGAGACCCAGAGTGCCCTAAGCCTGAGATCTGAATTTCTGAATTCTTGGTCTAGGCAGGGTGTACGGAATTCTGCTGCTACTTGCAACCCTAAACCCTAAACCCTAAACCCTAAACCCTGAACCCTGAACCCTGAACCCTGAACCCTGAACCCTGAACCCTGAACCCTAAACCCTAAACCCAAAACAACACAGAATCATAATCCCTATATTGCCCTTAGTATCATGGGTTTCCCTACTACCCCCCTCTATTCTACCCCCCCTTGAAGAACCTAGGGATGAGGGCTTAGCCCTAAACCCTAAACCCTAAACCCTAAACCCTAAACCCTAAACCCGCTTCGAGTTTGGTTCGGAGGGTGCCAGACCGAAGCCCAAATCGGAAGCTCCTAAGGGTTTAATTAAACCCTCAAACTGTAAACCCCCAACACTAACCCTAATCCGAAAAGGCTGCAAGGTCGTCTGCTTCGAGCGTACCCCTTGCGCGGGGATGAGCTTGGGCCCCGGCATTCATCCCTGTAAGCCCATGACATGACCCTCTAAGGGTTTAGGGTTTAGGGTTTAGGGTTTAGGGTTTAGGGTTTAGGGTTTAGGGTTTTCAGGTTTAGGGGCTTTCAAGAATGTGTCACTGTGAGTTGGGGTTTAGGGTTTAGGGCCTTAAGGCGTTTACCTCA